GCCTGTCTAGGTGGTCGTTAAAGATCCCACAACACTATCGTAAAAGAGAAGGGAATTTTTCCCCGTGAGCTGGTCAATAATCCCTCCAGATAAAATCGATCATTCACTTCATGGCTGTTTGTGGGACAATGCTGCACGCAAATATTGTCACATTTGCCTATAAAATACACAGTCCCTGCACTTTGCAGTAAATCCTGTGAAGTGTTTTGACACGTCTAAAAATATGAGGATTATTTTTACATTATAATTAAGAAAAGGATTTAAAAAATCAGCTCTGCACAAGTTGCAAACTATTGACAAAGTGTTCAGATAGTGGGGTGGTTAAAAAAAATCCCTGAGGAAGTTAGGAGTGAGAAAGGGAAGCCAAGCAGAACATCTTGAAACTAGAAGGATAATAGACTTGGAGAATAAGGTATCAGGGAAAGGCATTGAAGCGAATAAGAGAAATAGGTTCAAGAGGCAGTCTGATGTTTGCAGAGAGAGCAAGTATTCAGGATATGCTGAGAAGTCACATAAGGGAGGCTGAAATCAATGAGAAACAGATAAGCTCTCTGGGCCTAATGATCTTTCCTCCAAATATATGCCTTCCGTTTCCTTCCCATGCTACATAATCTAAGATGACATTCCAACGCAATGCTGCATTGTTGGAGGTGCAGTCCTTCGGATGGGATGTTAAACAAAGGTCCCATCTGCTTGTTTAGGTGGGCGTTAAAGATACTATGGGTCTGTTGTGGAGTCCTGTAGCTCAGTGGTTAGAGAACTCACCTCTCAAGAGACCTGGGTTCGAATCCAAACGTTGGGCAGGTTTCCTTACTCCGCTTACCTCTGTTTACCTAGCAGAAAGTAGGAACTCAGTTGTTAGTCGATTGGCGGATGGCTTTTCCGGGGGTAATAATGGCTTAAAAAAAATAAGAAGAATGAATTGATCACTTCAATCCACGACTGTTTGCGGGACACTGCTGTGTGCAATTGGCTCCTGCGTTTTGCCCACAAAATATAGTCAATTTACTTTACAGTGTATTCTGTGAAATGCTTTGAGGCGTCTCGAAGATGTGATAAAGAGCTATATAAAATGCAAGGATTTTTATTACTATTACTGTTCAAAAAGAGAAAGGAGTTTCTCCTAGTGTCCTGACCAACAATCCCCCAAATAAAATTGGTTGTTCACTCCATAGTTGTTCATGGGACATTTCTGTGCACAAACTGGCTGCCGTGTTTTTGCCTACAGAATACAGTCAATCCAATTTACGGTACATCCTGTGAAGCTCTTTGAGATGTCACGATAATGTGATGAAGTGCTATATCAAAAGCAAGGATTATTATTATTATTATATTATAGTACAAGTAGATTGGTGGCTGTCCTTCCCTGAGACATCTGCTGCTCAGATGCCAAGTAGGAGGTGGATCCATCTTCCCTCAGATCGTGGTGAGCAAAGCTGCTCCGCTACCATGTCACTGGCTGCCTCTTATTACCGAACAGATACTATTCACGGCTTGGTACAAGGTGGGAGCAATTGGTTTAAAACTATGGCACATCTTTGTCACCATGTAATGACATGCTGGAGTCCAGTGCCCCTCCACTGCAGATCCAATCTACAGGTCTCGAGCTATGATTTTCACAGTCAGTCGCGTAATCTCAGTAACAATAGACCGAGCAGCAATTCAGCCTTGTACGCCAGGGACATTGGACAGTCAATTGTACTGCCGTACTATTCAAAAGAACATTATTCTGCCGAGAAAGGAGGTTTTGAAGGAAAACAGGGCCATCGATCCCAGCAGTAATGTTCGTAACCTTTGCTATAATGCAGCTCCTCGACACTGGTAGAGACTTGTAGCTAGCTCACTCTTTCTCATTTGCCGTTCTTCACACTGGACACGGTTGATCCTGTTAAATAGAGTGTATGGCACGGAAACGGGCCATTCGGCCCAACCAGTCCGTGCCAGTGTTTAACATCCACACAAACCCTCTCGCCCATCTCTCTCCTATTCCTTTAGTGTGTAATAATATTAATAATAATCCTTGCATTTCATATAGCGCCTTATCGTGTCTTTGAGATGTATCAAAGCGTTTCACAGAATATACTGTAAACTGAAACAAAAACAGAGATCGCTGGGAATGCTCAGCAGGTCAGGCAGCATCTATGGAGAAAGGAAAGTGAGTCAACGTTGAGGGTCCATGACCCTTCGTCAGAACTGGTGGATGTTGGGAGGGAGAGGTTTTAAGGACTAACAGAGATGGGGCAAGAAAAACCAAGGAGAAAATGGGGAGACGGGATGATGGGTTAAAATAGTGTAAATTATGCAAAACAAAGGAGGGCAGCAGAGGCAGACTAGAGAGAGAAAAGGTGTGTTCTGGGACTCAGGTGATGTTCACAGAAGTGGGGGAAGGGGAAGGTAAGATGGGAAGATGGGAGCTGTTCTTATGTCTGAAGTGGTTGAAATCAATATTGAGGTCCGAGGGCTGTAAGGTCCCTAGCAGATAGATGATGTGCTGTTCCTCGAGCTTGCACCGTGCTTCATTTGAACAGCGTAGGAGACCGTGGATGGAGAGGTCAGAGTGGGAGGGAGAGTTGAAGTGGCAGCTACCGGAAGCTCAGGGTTGTCCCTGTGGCCAGAATGGAGACGTTCGGCAAATCGATCACCCAATCTGCACTTGGTCTCCCCAATGTAGGGGAGACCACTTTGTGAGCAGCAGATACTGTATACTACATTGGTGGTAGTACACGTCAATCGCTTTCTCACTTGACAACTGCTCCTCTCTTTCCGGTTAATCAATTTGACCTTTACAGGTGCCCTAATTTGCCAGAAATATTTGTTTTCCGTCTCATTGCAATTTGTGCAGTGAAATCCGACGCTTGTTTTGCCACACTCTACATCAGAGGCAGGAACAATCAGCATGAAGCATTTCAGCCCCTTCCAACTCCCACTGGGTTGGCTTAATAGACTCTGAGCACTGATTAATAATCTTTAATTAGGAGAGCTCCAAAGTAAAGATCTGCAACCCACTCAGTGGACTTTATAGATTGGGCTATTGGGTACTATTTGAAAAGAGAAAGGATATTCCCTCCCTATTCCCCCCTCCACTCCTACCCCATCCCAGATAAACTGATCATTCACTTGGTGGCTGTTTGTAGGACATTACTGCTTGCAAATTGGCTGCCAAGTTTGCTTTCAAAATACAGTCACACTTATAATAATAATAATAATCCTTGCATTTGATATAGCACCTCATCATGTCGTTTGGAACATTTCAAAGCGCTTCACAGAATATATTAAAATGTGATTTGATTTTTGGGGCATCCTGCAAAGTTCTTTGCCCTTCTTTCCAATTTGAAAGATGCTTTGAGAAATGAAATAATTATTATTATTATAATGAGAGCAAGAGTTTTTTTTGGCAGCTGCTCAACCGTGCCGTTGATTGCCGCTCGGTTGGTCTTATTGGTGAGCCCGTGGGCTTTGAACTTCTGATTGAAATACGTTCAAAAGAAGGAACTTTTTTCAATAAGGACTGTTGGCTGATATTCACTGAAGTGACACACTGCGAGCAAGAGGATCAGTCAGTTATGTTAGCAATGCTTCCTCACACACGTTCCCTGTCCTTCACAGGGGGTGAAAATTGTGACTTTTCATGATACGATTGTTTCTCTTTCTCTAACCCATCCCCCTCCTCAATAACTGCTACAATACGTTAGGTCAAAAAATACTCTCTTTACGTCTGCAAAGACTAAATTGCCATCTGAAAGGAATGATGTATAAAATCTACAGAAGGATATGGAACTTGGTTGGGAGGAAATTACTGCAGATTCGCCTGCAAATACACAGGGACTACACTTCACAGTGGATCCCGTGAAGCGCTTCGAGACATCCTCCTGACATGAAGGGCACTTATATCAAATGCAAAGATTATTATTATTATTATTACCTCCTCAAATATTACTTGCGTTCCTGCCTGGTAAAGTACACCGACTAAATTGTGGATCAAATCCCCATTTCAGAAATGTAATTTACATTCAATTTGGGCGGCTCCAATTTGAATTGAATCTTATAAATTGGAACACTTTGCCATTCGGCCAAGAACATTCGCAAGGCAGGTCACCACTTCCTGAGAATTTGATTATTATTCCCTCCAGTACCTTCTGTAATACGGTATCTATCTCTGGACTTTCTCTCCCTCTCTCTCTCTTTGTCTCTTATACATCCTCAGCATAACTTGAACAGTACAAAGTGTCTTGAATTCATATTAGCTTTTATACACTCATTGTTATAGATCACAGTTATGTCTGATGCACTTTGCTGGTCACAATGCAGTATTATGTTGCTTTAAGGAACAAATTATAATGGAAATTTGAACAAACGCCACAATCCGCATCATGCTGACGAATTAAGCTGTAATTCAACGGCAGACGTCCTAGACGTGCTCTTTTTACGCAGATTAAACCGTTGTTTATATACAGAATACATAAGATCCAATCTTTTATTATATAACTATACTCCTACCTCATTCAGCAACCAACCTTACAGTAAATTTCTGTTAAGCGCTTTGAGACGTCTCGACAGCGTGCTAAAACACCAAATCAAAGGCAAGGATGATTGTCAATTACTATTGTTGTGACTCCTAATTATGTATTATAATAAAAAGAAACTCGATGCTGTGGTGGGAGGGTGAGTATTCTGGAAGGATGAGATCACATGAATTGAAGAGCCTTCTTCATCTGTGATCTTGTGATTTACGGAGGTAAAAAATAAAATCACAGATTCGTAAACTGCACGTCCTGTCCTGTTCTGGTCTTATTTCAAAGATTTCAAAGGCGTTTTTCTGTTTTGTTTCTCAAAAATAAACGGCTAGGGGTGGCCTTAGCTGGACAAGCAGCGGGAAAGCTCGCCAGACAGCGATATCAATGATAAGCTATGCGGCTTTAGCTGGTACTCCAGCAGTTAACCCAACGCACACTCTCGCCAACCTGCGCCTAATGCTACTACTTTACTGTTGTCCTTCTCAGTGCCTACCAGCTGGTTGTGAAGGAGGAACGCCTGCAAAAATCCAAGCGAGCAGCGGAGACCGACGAGTGCTTTTCCATCGCCGTCAGCTACAAGAACGCCTCTCTCCTCGACTCGCTGCACTACCTCGCAGCTGAACTGAAGCCCGTCAACCTACCCGTGACTCAGCCGTTCACCGTCGGCGACAACAAAACCTACAGCGGTTACTGGAACCCACCTCTGTCCCCGCTCAAAAGCTACAGTATTTACTTCCAGGCCCTCAGCAGAGCCAATGGGGTAGGTACTGGTTTGAGGTTGAAGGATGCACCCAGAGTTACATTTAAACAGAGTCTTTCACGTCGGGAGGACGCCCCCAAAACTCTCAATGGTGCTGCTGAGTGCTGCAACCTGGGGTGGGAGCCAAAGGGAGTGCGGGAGGGGGAAAGGTGATCAGAAGAGGTAGATCTAGACAATGAGGTGAGCGTGCGAGCGAGCGAATCGGAGGCAATAAAGTATGGAGCTCCAGAGAGTTGGTGCAGACAGGTTGAAAGCTTGCCCACCAATGGATATTTAAAAGGATGCCAGTAAATACCCATTGTGCACATTTAGTGAGGTTTGAGACCTCACTGAACTGAGGAACAGTTTAACCTGTTGAGGTGCCGGCTGTCTCAGACAGTAATACACTCGCTGCTGGGTCTCAAGATTATGGGTGCACGCCACAAGGATGAGGAGTGAGCGGAGTTGGGTCAACTCACTGTGGTAGACCTGGTGGTAAAATTTTCCGAGCCAGGCAACTTTGCAGCACGTTCTCTGCATGAGCCCGAGCAGCTCAGTTTCCCCTCTTTGCTCAAACCTGGGCGTTTGATGCATTGTGGATTGCGTCCACTCTTCTGGCAGGAAGAGGGAAGTCTTTCATCCCATCAGCTGCAAATGGATTTTCCCACAGGCCCCAGAGCGGAATGGATTAATGTGCTAATTCACTGCTTCACCCAAAGCTTTGACGCTTGAGCATTAACCACTGACAATATGGTCAATGTCCCATTTTTGCATGACTTACTGATTGCAGCATAGCCCGAGAGGAAGGCACATTCTAAATATATTCCAATTTGAGCCGTGCCTTTATGTTTGTCCCCAGATTATCACAGTGCCCGCACGCTTCAAAAAAGCTTCATTCTCCATCCTGTGAAAGGTGTTATGATAGAGGTCTGTTTTGCTCTTGAAACAGCTTGTTAAAGTCCCCTGGAACAGCCTCGCTACAATACCTTTCCGCTAAAATAAACTAGCTCAAATATTTATTGCTTAATGCGCATCATGTCCTGGTGAACCTATTGCTAAATGAAGTTTGTGGTTAATATCTTCTGGTTGGCTTCTGCAAAATTTTAATTGAACATTGCCCAGAGAGCGGAATAATCTCATTTTGATTTTGTTTTATCCAAAACCCTGTTGCAAATGAGCAGAATAGGCCCTAAGCAGCTCTTAGTTCCTTTCAAACTTCTTTTAACCCTTTTAACCCTGGATAATTATCCCACGGATACGCACCAAGGAATGCCTGGCACGCTGAGCCGTGCGACAATTGACATTTTCTCCCGGGAAATCCAGGAGGGAATTCAAATCTGCTTCACATGGAATTCGGAGCGATCCAATCTTGCAGCAACTGGGTTGTGCAAATGGTTGAGAATCGGAATTCCTGCAGGGAAGACAGAAGCCTCTCACCGAAGGCAGATTCTGAGCTCCAAAGAGTGCAATTCATACGCCCAAAGCCAGCATCTCTCCACCACTTTGTAAGTTCAGGACTTTCATCTTGTTGTCTAGGCTGACACTCTTGCGAAAAGCCAGGGGATGCACGGCAACTGTTGAAGGTGCCGTCCTTCAGATGAGACATTAAATCAAGGTCCCGTCTGTGTCTGTTCAGGTGGATGTTAAACATCCCACAGCGCTATTGGAAAAGAGAAGAGAGTTTCTCCCTCCCAGTGCCCTGGCCAAAATTGGCCTCCAAATAAAAATCACTCATTCACTGTCGTGGCTGTTTGTTGGAAAATGGCTGTGCCCAAATTGGGTGCCGGCCGCATTCACCTACAAAATAGTCACTGCGTGTTAAAGTGAACCCTGTAAAGAGCTTTGAGATGTCTTCCTGACGTGGGAGGCACTGTATCAAATGGATTGCTAATTGTGAAAAAGGAAGATCTTTCTCGCTAAAGTCATCGGAACAGGAAATCCCATCTCAAGAAGTCGGTGAAAAGATTATCCTTTCTCAGGAATCAGTTTATGCACACGAAATTACATATTATTGTTATCTTGACAATAACAACAACAAATTACATTCGGATAGCGCCTTTCACCCGCTGTGACTGAACTTTCTGCCAGTTGTAGTGCCCTCAATAAGTTCCCCTTGGCCAAGAGAGCAAAGACAAGCTCTGTGCTTTGGTTGATGTGGCTCAAGATAGCAACTCAAGTGGGCCTGAGCCACAGAAGTGGTCAAAACATCAACGATACGCCCGTTCTCGTTTACTCTCTGGGGTGGCGTCCTTGTGATTTAAAATGAGGTTAAGGCGCTCGTCCCCTCTATTCAGCAGCACTCCAAATAAATGTTCATTAATGCAGATGAACCCATCCTATTGTGGAAATGTTGTAACAGAAATAACAGATGTTTCCAAGGTTTTGCATGCTGATCCCTGTTCCACAGCACTGAAGATATGTGCGACATAATGCACTGGGGACTGCCTGCATTTTTTAATCTATCACGCCGGGTCTGTGTTACCCAATGTAATTGTGTGATAATTTCATGACACCACTGTTCCCACTCTACTTATTGGTTGTGGCTTGAGGCTGCGTGGGTGTGTTTTTTCTCTCTTTCTCTCCCCCACCAAGCCCCCTCGCCTGCTGCTGTCACTTGCATTTAAAAGGACGTTACTCTTTGAGACGTTTTGTCCATACGATAAAGGGGGAATATCTAAAATGCAGCAATGGTTATTATTACAAACACATCAACTGATTCCTGACAATAGCAATCTTTTCACCGACTGCTTAAAATGGGATTTCCTGTTCCGATCACCTAGCGGGAAGATAAATAATAATAATAAGTATTATAATTATTCAGATCTAATGAAGTAATTATTATTGATAATAATATTCATCGTTAATATTCTTAAGATCTTCATTACAATTAGCAAACCTGTTGGGAGGTGGGGGTGGGGGGGGCACTGCCTTCGGCTCCCCTCGCGACTCTCTACCCCCTCCTCGCTCCCTCCCTTCCCTCCCCTCACCCTGACCATTTCCCCCCAATGCTCGGGTCCTGACCCAACTGTACAGTGCCTTGGGACGTCCTCCTGACGTGAAAGGCGCTCTATAAATGGAATCTTGTTGTTGTTGTTGTTGCCCACCCCCAAATTTGGGGCCTGCCATTATAATCATGTTCTCATCTAGAATACAGCTAGTAAACTGATCTCTTGCACTTCATCTGAACCCCTGGGTTAGATTTCTACGTTACATTAACTCCCAGGGATCCATTACCCTGATGGTATCTTCCCTTCCATCAGGAAGTGACAGGACACACCTTCACTTTAGGAGCAGTCTCAGCCGTCCTACACACTCGTACGCACAGGGAAAGTTTCCATCAGCCTGTGACCTTGCCATGACTGAGCTTTGCATTGAAAAGTACCGTTGGCTGATCAACAAGTTGCATTGGACAACAACAAGTTGGGTTGTACAGTGCCTTTCACTTCCGCAGGACATCCCAGGCCATTGGGCAATGAGAGGTTTGCACCCAAACTGCGGGTTGGGATCAGAGAGAGGGGCTGCGGGCAAGGGGGGTGGAAGAGGGAAGATATCTGGAGGCAGGGTCGAAAAGGGAAATGTTGAGATGGGCTTTGAAGACGGCAAGGGAGGAGGTGAGGCAGAGGGGCTCCAGGATCAAGTTTTACAAGGTGGGAGCAGAGAGGCTGAAGGCCCGACCGCTGATGGTGGAGGACGCAGAACAGGAGTGCGTGGAGCAGGCCAGTGCTTGCAGAGAGGAGGGAGCAGACAGGCTCGTGAGGTTTTAATGGATTCACAGAGCAGGGAGGAGTAAGACAAGACTGTGGAGGGCTTTGCAGATGAGACCAAGCTGAAGATAGGACCATTTGTCGCATCTGTCTGCTGCTGCCTTACGCAAATGAGGAACACAAAGCTTAGGATTCTCATTGTTTCGCTGGTTGTTTGGATGTGATCTCGGAGCAGCATCTCCTAACTAAGTGTTTAATTGTGCCGAGAGAAAAAGTGAAGTGTTGCATTTGTCAGCACTGCCTCTGCCATCCTAATGAGCAGAAGCGAGGCAGGCACAGACAGATTGGAATGCAGCCTTCTGTGTAATGAATTCCGTCTGCATAATGTCTCTATCTGCTCTTAATTAGCTTTCTTACAGGGGAAACCCCAACACTTTATACTTAACACTGTTCCCGATTCCTCTAGATGTCAGGCTCGCCTGTTGCTGCTGCCCCGGGCTAAGGAATTCCTCATATGTGATAGTAAAACGATTTACATTTACGCAGCATCTTTCACGTCGGGAGGATGTCTCAAAGCACCTCACACGGCTGGCTGGGAGTTTGAGCTGTTACAGGGTGGTGTAAGGGGTGAAAGGTGACGGAAAACAATGTTAACCCTTTAAATCTTATTGTATTGTGTGGCACAAAGGAAAGTCTGGTACCATTTTGCACGATTGAAGTATTTTAGCCATTTGAGATTTGGATAGACTATTTCTGCTTGTTGATGAGTCCAAAACAAGGACCCTAGAAGTAAGACCGATCTAACAGAGAGTTTTGGAGGAACTTCTTTACAGAGAGGGTGGTGAGTATATGGAACTCATTACTAGAAGCCAGTAGTTTGCCCGACTCCATTGGCTTCCCATCACACAGAGAATACTTTTGAAAATCCTGGTCCTCACCTTCAAAGCCCTCCATGGTCTTGCTTCCCCCCTACCTCTGCGACCTCCTAACCCCTTACCATCCTGCTCTCTCCAGCCAGCTTCACGTCCCCCACCTCGCTCGCCCTACTATTGGTGGGCAGGCCTTCTGCCACTCTGCCCCCACCCTCTGAACTCCATCCTGCAGTCCCTCCGCCTCGCCTCCTCCCTTGCCACCTTCCAGACCCATCTCAAGACCCTCCTCTTCGACTGCGCTTTCGATCACCCTGCCTCCCTCCCTGCCCTCCATCCTTCCCAACCCCCAGCTCGGGTCCGAAACTCTGTCTATCCAGTGCATCCTCTCGACATGAAAGGTGCTTTACAAATGTAATTTTGTTGTTGTTGTTGAAGCAAAAAGCAT